CGTAACGTAACCTACCCTTTCCAACCGTAACGTAACGTAACCTAACCTTTCCAACCGTAACGTAACGTAACCTAACCTTTCCAACCGTAACGTAACGTAACCTAACCTTTCCAACCGTAACGTAACGTAACCTAACCTTTCCAACCGTAACGTAACGTAACCTAACCTTTCCAAACGTGCTGTAGAAAATTAGATTTTCTTGTCTACAGAAAAAAACATGAAAATAATTCATGAAACAAGAAAAGGTTACTACCAATCACCAAATCCAAGATTTAATAAATTTATTGAAAGAGTAGAATAACTAGTACTGCTTGTTCTTGACAGGTTATTACTCAAAGTTACTGGTGTTTCTGAGCTTAAAATGCTATGGTTCGTATATATATATAAATATATATTGGATACAAAACACAAAGGGTATATAACATTGATCTTATCACGAGAGTGTTATATAAACATGTACAATAACATGTTTCTCATCACGGAAGTGTTATCCATACATATATATTAATATGTTTCTCTTCGCGGAAGTGTTACGCATACACATGCAACAACATGTTTCTCTTCACGGAATTGTTGTACATACATATATATTAATATGTTTCTCTTCACGGAAGTGTTATACATACACATACAACAACATGTTTCTCTTCACGGAAGTGTTATATGATAACTCGAACCTGAGACAATAGACAGACGAACAATTCTGTTTATAACATGAAATTAAAATGACAAAATCCATACTCACAACGCTCATGTAAGGCGTATTCTCAAGTGGGCTGTACTAACTCGGTGAATCCTCAAGTGGGCTGCAGTAACTCACTTTATTCTCAAGTGGGCTGTAGTAACTCGGTTTATTCTCAAGTGGGCTGTAGTAACTCGGTTTATTCTCAAGTGGGCTGTAGTAACTCGGTTTATTCTCAAGTGGGCTGTAGTAACTCGGTGAATCCTCAAGTGGGCTGCAGTAACTCACTTTATTCTCAACTGGGCTGTAGTAACTCGGTTTATTCTCAAGTGGGCTGTAGTAACTCTAATTTCTCTAATATTTAAATTTTTTGAAACAAACTGTTGATGTACAGCGATCTTCTCCTTACTTCATATTAACACATAATAAACTAGCTCTGTGGATGTACAGCGATCTTCTCCTTACTTCATATTAACACATAATCAACTCTCTATTGTTGATGTACAGTGATCTTCTCCTTACTTCATATTAACACATAATCAACTCTCTATTGTTGATGTACAGCGATCTTCTCCTTACTTCATATTAACACATAATCAACTCTCTATTGTTGATGTACAGCGATCTTCTCCTTACTTCACATTTATACATAATCAGCTCTATGTAGTGTAACCGTTCAAAAAGAGGTCAGTTTTAGGACCACTCTCCAACAACTAAAGTAGGATCAGGGATTTTAACTTGGTTAGTCTCATGATAAGTGGACCTAAGTGATTCGGTATGCAATTGTTTAATGTAGATCACGGATTCTAACTAACAACTCTTCAAAATCTATGTTTACAAGGCAGTCATGACGTATCGTGTACAATTTAAACTTCATGTATTGTACATAACATAATAAGAAAGTCCATAAAACTCGTGGATCTATAAAAGATTCTGAATCCATATTTTATTTGTCCCTCTCTTTACTGAACTGTTTACCTACAAATGGTTACACAGTCTAGCGACTTTCAACTTCATAAAAGTTGTTTTGGTTTTCATAACGCATTTTCCATAATTCAGCTACGCAGATTTCGAGAGTAATATTACTTTTTTTTTCTATAACGTAAGGATTTTTTACAAATCAGGAAAAAAACTCTTACTTAGATCAAATTAATATTTCGTTTACCACAATGAACATTTTTTTACTATTATGTTTGGATTCCAGAATGATCGATAAGACTCTCACGTCGCGATTGGTCTAGAGAAATCTATAGCCAGTAGTTGGCAAACATTTTAAGCATAACAAAATGTGACCCAATTACAATGAAAATGATTCACTTATGTAAAAGTACATATGACGTTTTGTGAAAAATCTGTACGTGATGGAAAAAAAAATGGATATCATTTTCGAATTCAGCATAGAGAAATTACTGTAGAACATTTAACAATTTCAAAATAATAAAAACATCGCAGACCTGTGTTACCTAAACTCCACTCAAAAAGCGAGCACTGCACATGCGTGTTAGGATTTATTTATATATATATATATACTTTACAAGAAAGTATTTCCCGTCCATGTTTATAGATAAACTCTCCCCCTGTTGCCAGGTTTATTTTTATGAAAAGACGAAACGAAAGGCGTTTTAATATAATCTGAAACTGGTAAACTTTGAGAAGTTTCAAATATCCTAAACCTTTCTTCACTGAGTGGTAGAAAATTCAAACTTTTCATGACGTATATGTGTTTATATGGCAACGACAAAGTTTAGAAACGTATCACTAAAAGAGGACTAGCTTTCTCCGCGGGCGGAAATACAGTAAGTAAAATCTGATATTGATCGAGGTCGGAGAGAAGGAACAGTTGCCAGATGCTACCACCAGGAGAATGTTTCACTTTTCCAATAACTCTAAAGTTAATATAACTGAAATCTAGTGGAAGTTGCCGTGGAAACTGAACTGTGATTCGTTCAGCACGTTAGTCTGGCTCCTAACACGAGTGAATAACGTTTTTATTTAATGGAAAACTGAAAAACTCTTTTTTTTATTTTCAAATAAACATTATTTTTCTTTTATAAAACTTCCATATCATCACCTTTTAACTTCCATATCATCATTTTTTAACTTCCATATCATCATCTTTTAACTTCCATATCATCACCTTTTAACTTCCATATCATCATCTTTTAACTTCCATATCATCACCTTTTAACTTCCATATCATCACCTTTTAACTTCCATATCATCATCTTTAACTTCCATATCATCATCTTTAACTTCCATATCATCACCTTTTAACTTCCATATCATCACCTTTTAACTTCCATATCATCATATTTTAACTTCCATATCAACACCTTTTAACTTCCATATCATCACCTTTTAATTTCCATATCAACACCTTTTAACTTCCATATCAACACCTTTTAACTTCCATATCACCACCTTTTAACTTCCATATCAACACCTTTTAACTTCCATATCATCATCTTTTAACTTCCATATCATCACCTTTTAACTTCCATATCATCATCTTTTAACTTCCATATCATCACCTTTTAACTTCCATATCATCACCTTTTAACTTCCATATCAACACCTTTTAACTTCCATATCAACACCTTTTAACTTCCATATCATCACCTTTTAACTTCCATATCATCATCTTTTAACTTCCATATCATCACCTTTTAACTTCCATATCATCATCTTTTAACTTCCATATCATCATCTTTTAACTGGACAAATAAGACAAGACTTTTTTCATCAGGAAAATGGACATCTACAGCAAACAATTACATCAAGAAATCATTCGGCACGTTCAGTTTGGTGTAGGAAATGCATTCACTGTTTTCCTATCGACAGTCTTCCTCGTGAAGTAAGATCATTTAGTTTCCAGTTGTTGTTTATTTGGAGATGTAATTCCGAACAGTTTAAACAGGAGGCATGTTATTTTTACAGGAAAAGGCAGGCTATGTTACCATTCGTACATCTATCAGAGAAAAGAAATGTTATTTACGTTCATGCACCCAGATTGAGGCATTTTTGTTTTTAAGATGACTACTGACGCAAAAAATCACAATGTATTAACGATAATACAGTAACAACAATGTATTAACAATAATACAGTAGAAATATATTAACAATAATACAGTAACAACATTGTATTAACAATAATACAGTAACAACATTGTATTAACAATAATACAGTAACAACAATTTATTAACAATAATACAGTAACAACATTGTATTAACAATATTACAGTAACAACAACGTATTGACAATAATACAGTAACATCATTGTATTAACAATAATACAGTAACAACAATGTATTAACAATAATACAGTAACAACAACGTTGTTACTGTATTATTGTTAATAAATTGTTGTTACTGTAATATTGTTAATACATTGTTGTTACTGTAATATTGTTAATACATTGTTGTTACTGTATTATTGTTAATACAATGTTGTTACTGTATTATTGTTAATACAATGTTGTTACTGTATTATTGTAAATAAATTGTTGTTACTGTATTATTGTTAATATATTGTTGTTACTGTATTATTGTTAATACAATGTTGTTACTGTAATATTGTTAATATATTGTTGTTACTGTACTATTGTTAATACATTGTATTAACAATAATACAGTAACAACAATGTATTAACAATAATACAGTAACAACAATATATTAACAATAATACAGTAACATCATTTTATCAACAATAATACAGTAACAACATTGTATTAACAATAATACAGTAACAACAATATATTAACAATATTACAGTAACATCATTTTATCAACAATAATACACTAACAACAATGTTTTAACAATACCAAAAGGTTTAAAGTAAATCATAAGACTAAAGTAAAAAACTTTGTTCAGAACATACTCGTAGACACTTTTGTTTTGAACTTTCAACTGTGACGTATGTAATGCTAGAAGAATATGAGGCTATAAATACAATGGGAAGAGCGAAGCCTAGTAGTTAGCTTGCTAGGCTGCTGATCGAAAGGTCCAAAGTTCGAGAAATGATGCTGCTGAATATTCCACCCCCCTTTTATTAACTGTTCCAAAAAAATCAAAACAAAACCGTTGTAGAGGCAGATGTTATCCGATTGGCTACCTTCCCGTTGTTCAGTAATTTTTAATTGGAGAAGGCCTCATTCCAATATATAGAGGTTTCCGACCTGACCGTTTAACTCACGTGCAGCACATAAAGCGTCATTCAGGTTGAATATATCGTTACTTTAAAATGTATGTTCTGTTTCAGGTTTTCAGAAAACAACAACAATACAAAACATGCATTGTCAGGAGACACGAATAAGCTCCCTGTCGTAACGCTCCCCCCCCAAAAAACCCATCTAAGATACAATCTTTCGACAGCGCTCGGGTTAGAGTATTGTTATATTAAGACTTCTTCGTGTTTTTCTGACATCATGGATATAACAACATACAGGTAGCATTCGGCTTACTAATACGTTAAGAATGTATTAAACATTCGACCCCAAAATAAAATGTGTACCTTTACTTACAGTGTGTGTGTGCCCCCCCCCCCCAGTGGCACAGCGGTATGTCTGCGGACTTACAACGCTAGAAACCGGGTTTCGATACCCGTGGTGGGCAGAGCACAGATAGCCCTTGTGTAGCTTTGTGCATAATTAAAAACAAACAAACAAACTGCTCCCTAAACACCGTGGGTAATCGATACCCGGGTGTTAGTGTTGTAAGTTCGTAAACTTGCCGCTTCTTGAAGTAAAGGGATTCTAGCCAATCACCAAGCTTAATGGCCGTATATATAAGAATATATAATTTGGAAAAAGAAACGTGTTTGTTTGAAGTTAAGCACAAAGCTAAACAATGGGCCATCTGTGCTCTGCCAACCACGGGTATCGAAAACCGGTTTCTAGCGTTGTAAGGCTGCAGATATTCAGCTGTGCCACTGGAGGGCAAAGAAATATGAAAGTGTAAGCATGTTCTTTATTTTAGAATGTGTATCCAGAGCAAAAAAAAAAAATTACACCTGGTG